ACTATCCTAGAATAGACCAAGTTTTACTGTTCTTTATAAAACTATCCTACAACAGACCAAGTTTTACTGTTCTTTATAAAACTATCCTAGAATAGACCTAGATTTGTTGTTCTGTTTAAAACTCTTCTAGAATAGATCAAGGTTTGTTGTTCTGTATAAAACTATTCTAGAATAGATCAAGGTTTGTTGTTCTGTATAAAACTATCCCAGAATAGATCAAGGTTTGTTGTTCTGTATAAAACTATTCTAGAATAGATCAAGGTTTGTTGTTTTGTATAAAACTATCCCAGAATAGACTAAGATTTGTTGTTCTGCTTAAAACTCTTCTAGAATAGATCAAGGTTTGTTGTTCTGTATAAAACTATCCCAGAATAGATCAAGGTTTGTTTTCTGTATAAAACTATTCTATAATAGACAAAGATTTGGTATTGTTTGAAGATATTCTAGATCAAACAAATATTTGGTATTGTTTGAAGCTATTTTAGATCAAACAAAGATTTGGTGTTCTTTATAAAACTGTTCTAGAATGAACCAGCTCTTACTGTTTTGTATATGGCTATCCCAGAATAGACCTAGATTTGATGATTTGTACGATGTTATCGTAGAATAAACCACGATTTCCTGCCCTGTATAAAATTATCCTTGACTAGACCAAGATTTTCTAATTTGTCTGAAACTGTCTTACAATAGACTGAATTTTGTAGTTCTGTTTAAAACTGTTATAGAATTTTGATTTTTTTTCTGCTTCTTTAAGATTCATTACGCTTATGAATTATGGTACTGTTTGTAAATAATTCATTCACTGCATCAGAGGAAGTGTTTTAGTTACACATCCTCAAATTTTATTGGTTCATTCAAATAGTACTGAAGCTGTTAATGGTTTATTCAAACTGTCCTGAAGTTTTATTGGTTTATTTACAAAGTCCTAAAGATCTTATTGTTTTACGTAAACAATCCTGAAAATCTTATTGGTTTATTTAAATAATCCTGAATATCCTATTGGTTTACTTAATTAAACAGTCCTGAAGTTCTTAAAAAGTATTTTATCCACATAGTCATTAAGTTGTTATTGTATTCTGAGTAGCTTTGTGCTTAACTTCAAAACAAACAAACAAACGTTTACGCTGAGCACCTAAATTTGCAGATCTGCATTATCCATTTCTTCTCCACTAAATATGCCCCAAGATGCACACCTCCTTCACTTGTTACTAGTTTGGTAATTGTGGTTGTAGTTTAAGAAATAACAATTTTTATATCAAGATCTAAGGCTTTACTGCGAATTGAGATAAATGCTTACTTGTAGAAACTACATATGTCATGGTGTGTAAAAAAGGATAGAGTCAGTTTCGTCTCCCCTTTCCCCCTCCATCAAGAGTAATTAATTATCTAACAAAAGTACAGGCTATTTTCTAGTATGCCAAATCCAAATGTACTGTTCTCGTACAAAACTACTATTGACAAGTCGACCATGTATGGGCAGCATTGAATATTGACAGGTTCTGTGGGGAGTAGTGACGACCTACATGTGACGTCAGTGACTGATAAAGAATGTTTTCTGTCACTTAGAAACTGATGGTGTTGTTGTGAAGTGTTTATTTCAGAAAAATGAGGTACAATTTCATGTTGGTTCGTGAAGTACTAGAAAATAGCCTAAGGAGAAGAGAAATATATGAGTGACTAAAGGTAGCTCAACGCTGACTTTATTGAATCCTTCCAGTAGCCCTTCTAGATAGACCTATTATAACTTTGGTAAAAATTCTATAAAACAAACAGGTAAATTGGGTTTACATGTGATTACATTATAGCTAGCTGTTGACTAGTTGAAATAAGCCATGTGTAGCTTTCGTGAAACATCTATAAAACAAACAAGTGAATTGTGTTTAGATGTGATTACATTATAGCTAGGTGTTGACAGGTTGAAATAACCCACGTGTAGCTTTCGTGAAACATCTATAAAACAAACAGTTAAATTTTGTTTAGATGTGATTACATTATAGCTTAGTTTAAATTCGATGACGAGGAACCCACTTTGAGACTAATAATGGCTGGAGACGGCTTAAATGGGTAATGAAG